TCTGTGTCTCTCTTGCTGTTTCTCATACAGGGTTATCGTTACCATCTTTCTAAATTCCATATATATGCGTTAGTATACTGTATTGGTTTCTGGCTTACTTCACTCTGTATAATAGGCTCCAGTTTCATCCACCTCATTAGAACTGATTCAAATGTATTCTTTTTAATGGCTGAGTAATATTCCATTGTGTTTATGTACCACAGCTTTCTTATCCATTCGTCTGCTTACGGGCATCTAGGTTGCTTCCATGTCCTGGCTATTATAAACAGTGCTGCGATGAACACTGGGGTGCACATGTCTCTTTCAGATCTGGTTTCCTCAGTGTGTATGCCCAGAAGTGGGATTGCTGGGTCATATGGCAGTTCTATTTCCAGTTTTTTTTTTTTTTATTTCCAGTTTTTTAAGGAATCTCCACACTGTTCTCCATAGTGGCTGTACTAGTTTGCATTCCCACCAATAGTGTAAGAGGGTTCCCTTTTCTCCACACCCTCTCCAGCATTTATTTCTTGTAGACTTTTGGATAGCAGCCATTCTGACTGGCGTGTAATGGTACCTCATTGTGGTTTTGATTTGCATTTCTCTGATAATGAGTGATGTTGAGCATCTTTTCATGTGTTTGTTGGCCATCTGTATGTCTTTGGAGAAATGTCTGTTTAGTTCTTTGGCCCATTTTTTGATTGGGTCTTTTATTTTTCTGGAATTGAGCTGCAGGAGTTGCTTGTATATTTTTGAGATTAATTCTTTGTCCATTGCTTCATTTGCTATTATTTTCTCCCATTCTGAATGTTGTCTTTTCACTTTGCTTATAGTTTCCTTTGTTGTGAAGAAGCTTTTAATTTTAATTAGGTCCCATTTGTTTATTTTTGCTTTTATTTCCAGTATTCTGGGAGGTGGGTCATAGAGGATCCTGCTGTGATTTATGTCGGAAAGTGTTTTGCCTATATTCTCCTATAGGAGTTTTATAGTTTCTGATCTTACATTTAGATCTTTAATCCATTTTGAGTTTATTTTTGTGTATGGTATTAGAAAGTGTTCTAGTTTCATTCTATTACAAGTGGTTGACCAGTTTTCCCAGCACCACTTGTTAAAGAGATTGTCTTTTCTCCATTATATATTCTTGCCTCCTTTGTCAAAGATAAGGTGACCATAGGTGCATGGACTTATCTCTGGGCTTTCTATTCTGTTCCATTGATCTATATTTCTGTCTTTGTGCCAGTACCACACTGTCTTGATGACTGTGGCTTTGTAGTAGAGCCTGAAGTCAGGCAGGTTGATTCCTCCAGTTCCATTCTTATTTCTCAAGATTGCTTTGGCTATTCGAGGTATTTTGTATCTCTATACAAATTGTGAAATTATTTGTTCTAGTTCTCTGAAAAATTGGGTCACTGTTTCTTTTATGTTTTCCTGAACTATTTTGTATTCTGTCTTTCTGTTGTGTGTGGCCAATGGAGTCTGTGTTTCCTTAGCTGAGTAGCTGACCATTGTTTTGACAGAGTTTCCTTATATACCTGGATCCTAGAAAAGAGAAGAAATATCCTCCCAGCCTTTGCGGGGTGTCTCTGTGTTAGTGCATTCTTTTTTTTTTTTTTTTTTTGTTAGTGCATTCTTTAGTGCTTAGCTAGGGCATCTACAACTCTGCCTTATCCTTAACTTCCTGCTGAAGTTCAGCCACAGATGATAAACATGGTCTTCCACTTGTTAATTTTGACATTTAGAGATTCCTCAGGGGTAAATCTAACTGAAAGTGGTATTTTCAGAGCCAAGTTTCTTCAGAGGTTTGTCAGCTGAGGTTTAGAGTTGAAGGTTGTTGCATGGAAACGAGATCAACCTTGGGCCTTCAACACACTGTGTTGGACTTAGGTAATCAGTGGGGCTGGGTGGGGACATTAGGACAATTCATGTGTAAGGGAGAATGGGACAGCATAAGGGAGGCTTTAGTTTGAGTTTATGACGGTAGATTAGGGCTATATAGTTCTTGTCTGTTCAGCTTTCTAGATAATTACTTTGTTGCTAATATCTGCCAGTTCCATCTGAAAAGGACAGATTGATGGTGCTACTTTGACTCTTGGTTTCTGTTCTCTAACTGGGTAAAATTTATCGCAAAAGGGAAATTTTTGATATAGTTCAGTATTACCAGGGCCTTGCATTTTGTCTTGTTTTTAAAAGCTTGCCAATGATTAGTATTTTCTCTGCAGCATCATGGTGACATGAAATAATTAGAGAAGTTGAAAATATCTAGCCATTGGGAGCTGACTGGCTAAATAATGTATTTTATATCCTCATGTGGGATACTAGTCAAGTGCTAAAAATTAGATGTAAAAAGAGGACAAAAGTATATTGTCAGGAAAAAAAAACAAGATGCAAATAACACACATATAGATATCTACTTTTTTCCAGGAGAAAATCATGTACGTAAACATATAAGGTGCTTTTGTTCACTCAGTCGTGTCTGAGTGCCCCATGAACTGTAGTTTACCAGGCTCCTCTGTCCATGGGATTTCCCAGGCAAGAATACTAGAATACTCTAACCCTAACCCTAACCCTAACCCTAAGTGGGTTGCCACTTCCTACTCCGGGGGTTCTTTCTGACCCAGGGGTTTAACCTGCTAATGCCTCCTGGGAAGCCCCTATAAGGTGCTTAAGTAATATTTTATTAAATCCTTATTATGTGCTAGCACTGTGCTTAGTACTTAACATACCCATGTGATCTTATATAGTTCTGACAACAATGCTATGAGGTAGGTAATTATTTAACCTCCTTTAAAAGATGAGGAAACAGCACCCTTAAGAGGGTAGGAAGCCCACCCCAGGGTGCATAGAGGATAAGAGGCAAAACAGAACCCCAGTCCTGAAGCCTGCACTCCCAACCACTGTGTTCTGTGCACTTTTTATTAACATTCATCTGCTGAAAGAGCATATGGTGGCCTAGTATTTAGGCCATTTAGGAATGTCACACGAGACTCATATAAAGTGGATTCTCAACTAGGTGCCTTCCAGATCCCTGCCTCACACTGAATATATGTCCAGGCTGCAGAAGCCTCCTGCATACATTTGTGAAGTGCTACTTCTCTGGACAGGACATTGTCCCTTCCACTTCCATTCACTCCCCCTCACCCACCCCCTGCCTCTTTACCCCATGATGCTATTATTCATTTTGGAATTCAGAGGGCAGTTAGACTGCTTTGTTTTCTGACTTCTTGCTAGCTCTGGGAATCTGGATGCACATCTTGTTTCTTAAAGCAAATTTAGAACATAATGACTATAGTTGTTAACCGCTAGTGTAATCCAGGTCTACAGTTCACATTAAATATTAGCTCATATTGCCTCCAGGTTTGAAACCAATGTACCCAGAAGAAATTTACAAAGGGACAATGATGTTGAAATATTTTAAGTGCAAACAGGATTCCTGTGTGTTGACAGGGACAAGGCCATGTTGTCTAAAGTCCCTATTTTGATTCCTAATTTTCCATTCCTTTCCAGTGGCCTTTTCCTCTTTGGACATTCTGCAATCTTGTGACTGAGCATTCCAGCTCCCTCTTTGTGAAATGCCTCTGATTAAATGTGTATATATAAAATCTCTTACTTTATCCCAGCAGAGGTGACTTTAATATGCAGGCATAGTACTGCCACTGTTGACCAGTTGGAAAACTCAGCATTTGGAGCACTGGAAAAAATTTTTTAAATTTTTTAATGTTCATCTTCTAAGTAAAGAGGGAATTCAATTGCCAGAATTATTAGTACATACAACTGTGTTCTACTTTTTGCTTCCCACAGAGCAATGTTTGATGCATGAGGTTTTGGTTGATTACGTTTTATTGCATTCTAGTGGGAACCAGTTTCTCCACCCATTCTCAGTCTCTTTGCTTTCAATTCTCTTTTGTTCCTTGGGCCAAAGGATGCAGCTAGATCTGAGAGCCGGAGAGAGTGAAGTAAAAGATGCTGGCATTTAATGCAAGAATTGGTTCAGTATATAATCCTGTCTACTTCTTTTCTTGGTCAAAGCAAAAATAATGCAGGCATCTTGCGAGAAGGGTGTTTATCAAGTGTATAGGACCTAATGTGTAGATGCTTAGTTTATCATATGGAAGCTTTGGGAAACTGGAGTCTGATAATTTCCCTATAATGCATCTGCCTCTCAGGATTTTTTTCCCAAAAGTCATTGTTCTCCATAGCCTATCCAGATATTTTTTTAACATCTTGCTTGTTAATGTGACTGCCAGCATCTTAGAGAAGTTGACAGTTTATGTGATTTCTATTAGCAGAAAAAAGTGGGTTCAAAAGCTTTTTCTCTAAATGAATCTATTGTTGAATGTCTAAACTGACTCAGAATACAGGTGCATGTTCTGCTCTGAGAAGGTAGAAGAAGGGGAAGAGCCCAATCCAGACAAAGTATGTGGGGGGAAGGCAGGGAACCCAGAAGCAATGGCCAGCCACCCTGTGCTGTGATCTCAGCCTAAACCATATCCCTGGGAAGGAGTTTTTTACTTCCTATTTGTATCCCTGGGCAACCACAGACCCCCACCTCCTACGTGGGATGTTAGCCTTGGAGCACCGAGGAGATGAGCTGCAGAGCTAAAGCAGAGTCCCAGAGGAGCTTCAGTTCTGCAGAATCTACGCAGCCTTCTTTGCCATACATTGATCACACGCTTAGGGCTTGGGAGATGAGAGCTGAGGGCTGAAACTCCTCAAGGTAAGAAGACCCCCTTTCCCAGGAAGTGGACTCCTCCAGTTTTCTCTTTCACTTTTCCATATATAGGAGTCCGTCAGGAGCAAGCTCTGACCAGCCCGAGGGAGTGACACATCCCTCTCCAGTCCCTCCTCCTCACCCATCCGCACCTTTACTCTCACGTGCTCGTGGGCACTTACGCAGAAGTGAGCTCCGTGGCTCTGCCAAAGACGAGCCTGTTGGGTTTAAAGGAGGAAAACTAGAAAAAACCTCAGGCCAGGTCCCAGCATTAAAATTGTTACCTCAAAGAAGCTGAGTGGAGAAGTGTGAAGAGATGAATGGATCAGTGGATGGCTTGTGCGATCATTCTCTAAGTGAGGAAGGAGCATTCATGTTCACATCGGAATCTGTAGGAGAGGGGCACCCGGGTAAGTAGATGGCCTTGGACAGGTGGCAACCTATATGGGGTAGGGGGCTGTTACTGAAGGCCTGGAAAACAATGTATGTAAATTACTATAAAGGATCTCAAGAAGAACAATATGCAATCTTTTTTATTAATTAATTTGCAGTTTTGTAAAGCAATCACTTGTTATGCAAATAATAGATTGTAAGTTAGTGCCCACCACCAACGTTTCCTTGGGGCTACAATAGAGGATATATGGTTGGTTGGATTAACATATTGTATGTGTAGAATGTATCATCAGGTATTCACTTTATACAGAGTTTTTTTTTTTTTTTTGGTAAAGCTTTTTTATCAATGAGCAGCTTAAGTCAACAGAGAATGTTCCCACAAACAAAACACACAAACAAGGTCATTAAGTTTCGAAAGTAAAGCATGTAGAGTTTAGAAATGAACAGCAGTGCATTCTAATAGGGGCTGAGACAGATCTCTAGGTCCTGAAAGAAAATTCCAGTATTTTTTTTTTTTTTTTGATCTCTGAATAGTGTGATGTGGAGAAATGAGAGAGGCTTCTGTGAAGACCATGATGAGAGTCTCCAGTTTCTGGGACAGTGGTTCTCAGACTTCAGGGTGCATCACCATCACCCAGTGGGCTTGTTAGAACACAGAGTGCTGGGCCCCACCCCCAGAGTTCCTGATTTAATACATCTTGGGTGAGGCTCAAGAATTTGTGTTCTGAAGAAGTTCCCAGGCAATGCTGATACTGCTGATGTGGGAGCCACACTCTGCAAACCACTGATCTAGGAGAACCCTGATGGCCAGACACACTGATTTATGTATTTAAGCACCTCTTCAAAATTCACCAGAGTATTTGAACTTTTTGGTGACTTATCATCATCAAGTTTAACTTTTTTTCTTCTTCCTCATCCTTGCTATTTCTCAAACAGCTTTAATTTTCATACTTTCTAACTCAGCTTTATATATTTCAGTGCACTGCCCCTTCCATATGCTTTAGCCACTGGTTCTCAGCTGGGGAAAGTTTTGCAACCCTTTTCCCCTAAGGGCATTTTGTACTATCTGGAAACATTTTTTGGTTGTTACAGCTATTCCAGGGGGTCAAGGCATTGCCTGAAACTGGCAGTTAGTGGAGAGAGGCCGGGTGTGCTTCTAAACACAAGACCATCCCCCACAACAAAGAAACTTTCCAGCCCAAAATGTCAATAGTGCTGTTGAGAAATCTTGGCTTAAACTGAATGTTGTTTGTAGCTTAGCTCATTTCAACGTAAACAGCATCTTTCATTCTGCATGACTTTATAAAGTTTCTAGATTTACTGTAGTCATAGTCTCAGATTCACTGCTATGTCTGATATATTTTGGACAGCTCCATGACTTACGAACGCCATCTACAGGTCTGAAGATGGCCATATATAGAATTTTCTCCATGTGGAAGAAGTGGGTGCTTTTTCACGCAGTGGCCAGTGGTCCCATTGTACACACAGCAATGTGCTCAATGAACAGAGAATGAAAATTCCGGTCAGTTGACAATTCTGTCTGCTTAATGGCAGCCCTTCAAATTGTCTGATTTAGCTTGCCACTGTACATTAGCTGTCCATGTAAAACAGTTTTCTTGGTGGCTTTCTTCTTGTCATTCCAGTGCTGAATTCCTCTCCACCAGAAAGATAAAATTAATGCTTCCTTTTCAACTTCCAAGAACGTTATTAGCTATCTTAAGGCTACTAAGTGATATTGATAGAAAATTTGGAAGCCTTAAACAGTTGAGAAAGGACCTCCTAAGGCATTATCTTAGTCTGCGCAGCTATCTTAGTACCCTTGCTCAACTCCAGCTTATCCCTAATATCCCTATCCCATTTCCCTGTGTGCACTGGAAACATGTGACCTGTGTCCTCTGAGCGAGCAGAGTCATTCATGGTCAGCATGTGAGTGGCTCCTAGGAGTCCTGATGGCTGGGTTAAAGTGATATTTGAGTAGCAGGAGGCCTTTACTGATAGGCGGTTGCAGGGGCATGAACTCAGACAAACCTTGATTTATAACTAGGATCAGCAGGGAGATGGAAAAACTCAAATATATATTTAGAAGCAGCTTCTGAAGGAAAGATTAGAGAATTAACGCTCAGATTCACATTTTAACTACAGAATTTCATATGCACTTTCAAAATCTGAAATGCTTGACTCTGGGCCTGTATTCTTAATTTAAAAATGTGTAAAATGACAAAAGGGACACAAGGAAATTTGAGAGGTGATGGATGTTTGTTAAATCTTGATTGCTGTGATGGTAACACAAGTATGTACATATGACCAAACTTGCCAAATTTACATTTGCAAATTTAATTAATTTCCTTAAATTATATATTAATTATATGCAAATTTTTGTATACCAATTATACTCCAGTAAGTCTGGGAAAAAACTTATTAACTTACCAAGAGTGGACTCTGTGGGTATTTTGAACACTAAACAAGATGTAATATGTGCAAATAGACGTCACTTTTATTTCTGAGTTTGTAAACATTGGCAGTACACATAACTCCAAAGCAAGAGTGGATTTCTCCACAGTGTCTACATGCTCGACCACGTGGAGTTTTTTAAATTATTTATTTTGGCTGCACTGGGTCTTTGTTGCTGTGCGTGGGCTTTGTGTAGTTGCAGTGAGAGGGGGCTACTCTCTAGTTGCAATGTGTGGACTTCTCATTTGGTGGTTTCTCTTGTTGTGGAGTAGGGGCTGTAGGCACAGCGGCTCAGCAGTTGCCACGCCTGGGTTGCTCCAGCATGTGAGATCTTCCTGGACCAGGGATTGAACCTATGTCCCCTGCATTGACATGCGGATTCTTAACTACTGGATCACTAGGGAAATCCCATCGATCATGGGGAATATTTAAGGCAAATCATAGAAGAATAAGATGGAGTACCAGCCCATGTTGAACTTTTGTCAGTCCCACCTTGATGAGGAGATGAGACCCAGCTGCTGGGACATCTGGCCTTCAGGAGGCTGAATGATGGTGGGGAGGATCTCAGAGCTGCTTGTGGAAGTGTTCAGCAAAACAGCAGTGGCAGTGATGTGTAGAGGTTCTCTTACAGGACTCTACAGGTGGAGACATGGAAGTGGGCGTGGTTTTACACACAGTGCACTGTAACTTGTGGAACCAGCAGTACAATGCATCTATCTGTTCTATCCTCTTCTACCCGTTGGCACCTGATCTTACTGATGTCATTAGTGTTTTAAATTCTGTTTCTAGGACTTTTCTTGATGTTAGAATTTAAGGAAATATGCTGAGGAATGAGATATTTCTGTGTGTATATCTTAGTTCTTTACACATCTATATCTATTATTTATTTAGATATAGTTAGATATTCATAGAAATCTAGTTTTCTATGAATGAGATACTTTTTAATTGGAAGAATATACGTGTGTGTATATGTGACTTACTTTAGACTCTTGTAACTGGCTTTGGAATATACTTCTTTTTTAGGGAGTTCTATGACTTTATATAAAAATTAAGGCAAAAGTGGGAAGAAATAAAAATTCCAAAAATTTACAATTTCTTATATTTTAAAAGTGTCCTCTTGGGTAGACTTGATATGTAAATTGACAAAATATCTAATTATTTTAACATTTCAGTTTTTAGGCTTAACATGTCTGTGAATTTTACACATGTTCATTCTTGTCTAGATAAGATCTGTGACCAGATCAGTGATGCAGTGCTGGATGCCCATCTCAAGCAGGACCCCAATGCCAAGGTGGCCTGTGGTAAGAAATGCCTGACCCCTCCTGCTGGAGACCTGAGTGGGCTCAACTTGAAACCTGTGCCCATATTGAAGCCCTTGGCACAGCAGAGAACTGGGGACTTCAGGGCCTAGAGGGCCCCGGGGTGATAGGACTAGCCTCTTCAACTTTACAGAGGTGATTTTGGGTATCCCTTGGCCAAGGTCATGGGGTAGGGGTCCTGGTGTGGAGACCAGAGCCCCACTCTCCTCACAGTTAGCACCTTGTCTTGTCTAACGCTCAGACCCACTCTTTCCTCTCCAGGGCCACCCTAGTCCTCAGACTGAGCACTGTAGGGACCCATGCCCCTCTAAGGGTGGACTTCACCCTGACATGTTTATAAATAATTTGCCTTGATTCTGTGCTCAGGACCCCATACCCTAAAGCCTACAGTGGAGCTTTAGCAGTAGGGGGCAAAAGAGGCCTCATGTATGTTGGCTGCATTCTTTATGACTACATACAGCCATTGTCTCGTTGTAATGAACACAGCAGTCTTATGATTATTTCCATCCAACAGCTGAGGCTGAACAAGCCGTTCAAGATTGGGCAAGTAGTAAGTGCATGGTATAAAAACTTGGAATTTGTGTGACCAATTCTTTCCAAAGTGCAGTTCTCTGAACAGTCTGTGAAGATGGTCAGAACTCATGTTGGGCTGTACTGTCTGTTATCACCATGATTGTCCTTCTGGAGTCCATTCCCTGTGTGGTCTCTTGTGTGGGTCTTTGTCAGCACTGTGAGAGGTCCAGGTGTGGAGCCCCCTTAGCCAGCATGCAGCCACTAGCCTGTCTCTTTGCCTTCAGAGACGGTGTGTAAGACGGGCATGGTGCTGCTGTGTGGGGAGATCACCTCCGTGGCCATGGTGGACTACCAGCGTGTGGTGCGGGAAACCATCAAGCACATCGGCTACGACGACTCTGCCAAGGGTGAGGTCCACAGGATGGAGCCCACCTAAGGCTCTCCATCTTCTGGAAGAGCGAATACCTCTACTTCTAAGCCCACTTGCCAGGGTCCGGGGCTCTCAAGCTCTGCAACAGTATGGCAGCCCAGGCAGACTGGCCCTTGTCCATCTGTTGCTGACTCTGGTCTTGTTTATGGTCCTAACTTCTTGGAAGAGGAAGAAGCTCTGGGTCCAAGGTGCTACTCTCTCTTGGGGCCGTGTTGTCTGCCAGGCGCTGGGGCAGGTCTGTGTGTGTGTGTGTGTGTGTGTGTGTGTGTCTTTCTACCTAGTTGTTGGAGGAACTCTGCTCCACTCCCTATGATGTAAATGAGGAAACTGAGACTTAGAGATGTCAATAACTCATATAAGGTGGCACAGTCAGTAAGGGGCTATCCCCAGTTGGGACTCCTGTGCTTTCTGCTAAGCTATGCTGCTCTTCCCCACATAGAGGAGAAGGTGACTCAGTCCAGTACAGGTACCGACAGCAGGTGGAGGAGACAGGCTGGTCCAGGGTGGCTCCAGTGCCCGGCAGTGTGGGAGCCTGCAACCCCACGAAGAGGCCCAGGCCCTGGCTGGAGCTGAGGAGGAGCCCTGTGACGAGGTGGGGGTGAGAGAGCCCTGAAGCAGACACCTGCATGGTAGGAACAGGCGGGCTGGGAAGGAGTCCAGCCTGGAGGGCGTCAAAGACAGGCCACGAGGGCCCGACTCTGGGGCCGGTGTACACTGGTCTACTTGTTGGTTGTCTGGGGTGATATGTGGCATCTTCGTGGGTCAGGGCAGGCTGCGGTGACATGCTCACGTCTTTTACGTGAGAGAGGCCCTCTCTGCGTGCGGCCACCTTCCTGCTGGCTTGCCCAAAGGACTCACTTGAGCATATGGTAATTTTGCGGCTATATCAAGAACCTGTGGGAAGAAAAAACCAGTGAGAACACATTGCTTCTCCCAGCCAGCACAAAGGGTGTTCACAGAGCAGCCACATTGTCCCAGAACAGCAGCTCCCTGCCACGTTACCTTGCAAGCCTTCCCCCTGTTCTACCACGAATAGCTGACTTATTATTTACTTATTCAAGAACAAACTTTATTCTGCATTAGATAGCAGGAAAGTAGTTTCCCTAGGAGTGTCACATCCCCTAGAAGAAAGAAGCAGGAGTGGGTGAAGCTCTTCTTGTCAGCACACCTGCACCAAGGGGACCGGCAGGCTGCGGGCTGGGCTGCAGTCACAAGGCCCCCAGGCTAGAGGCTCCCACTGCTCTTTGCTGCAGAGTTGACCTTTCTAAGCCCTCCTCCTCTCCCCTTAGTGCCCTGAACTGTTTTCCCAAGTGACTTGGAGCCTTTCAGTCCATCTCAGCACTGAGATTTATTATTTAGGCAGGGAGTGAAAGGTAAAATGGGAATTTGGTGAGTCCTTGGCAGTTGAAGGTTGTTCCCTGGCTTGTGCATTCAGAAGCCTTCACTAGGAATAGGGGCCGCAGAGGAGGACAAAGGTGGCCTGGTACTCCTGAGTAGAGGCACTGCCTGGCATTAAGTGTGATGTGGTACGAGATGCTCGGCAGCGAGTTGGCAGCAGAGTGTGCACTGAAGAGCTGGGTTGGGGGCCATTCAGGGATGTTTACTGAGAGCTGGATGGACTTGTGGAGGGGTGGGGTCAGAGGAGGAGCTTTCTAGGCAGAGGGTCCTCATTGAGGTGGAAAAGGAGGTTGTGTTTAAGCTAAACCTGAGTTCACTTTGGTTGAGGGCTCAGCTGGGAAAGCCTGGCTGGAGCTGAGCAGGTTCCAGCTTACTGCCTTTGGCGGTAGGTCTTCACTTGAAGCTTGTAGGTAAATAATAGGTTGAACCTAGGGGTATTTTTGTGATTTTATTTGTTTTAGTAAGCCCATTCTGGTCACAGGGGTAGAGAGCAGGTTGGAAGAGGGGGACAGTCAGTGTATCACTGATACTTAACTTTGTGGTGCAACCTCTGTGCATGTTAGCTCCTCATTCATATCCATGCTGTTGCTGCGCCCAGCAAGATGGTGAAAACCAATTTGGGAAGAGTATGCAGTCTGCCTAGTGGCGCCCTTGTGGGGCTTCTTGGCCTGAGCTGCTGCTACCCAAGATGTCTGTGTCCCAGGCCCCAGCCCTTTGTCCCCAGCCTGGGCCAGGCAGGAGGAGGGGACTCGCCTCCATCTCTGTGCTTGAGCTTTGGGTGTAGGATGACAGGGGCCTCAGCCTCCAGAGGTGTAGTTTTTCCATTTTGCTCCAGGCCCTGTGCACACCTCACGCTCAGGGCACTCTGACTCTGGGTGAGTCTCTGGATGGTCCACATGCACCTATTGCTCAGTATATTTGATACTTGGGTTTGGTGTATATTTTTGATACTTGGGCTCTGGCAGGCAGTGTTGGAAGGGCCCTTGATGTTCACTTAAGTGCAGTGATTTTCAACCTGGGTCCTAGGAGGTGCCTCGGGGAGAGCCTAAGGGGACAGGCCCTTGGTCATCCATTGCCCTTCTACCAGAGCAGCCATAACTGTTATCTGGTTTTCATACTGCCATTCTGTGTAGGGTATGTATTTTTAATTGAGGTGTGATTTAATACACCGTAGAGGGTTTTTTTTTTACTAAAGAGTTCCATGTGATAGGATGAGAAGGATACTGACATTCCCCATCCTAGGCCTCAGCTCTGAGCCCAGACTGATGGCAGAGACCACCCACCCCAACACTAAATGCCCTCTTGGATTCCAAGCAGCCCCCAGGAGCTCCAGCCTCCCTCTGCTTAGGCCTGCTCTCCTTGTGTCCAGGCTTTGACTTCAAGACCTGCAACGTGCTGGTGGCTCTGGAGCAGCAGTCCCCGGATATTGCCCAGTGCGTCCACCTGGACAGAAATGAAGAGGATGTCGGTGCCGGAGATCAGGTCACTCAGTGCTAAGCGTGGGCACCATATCAGAGCAGCAGTGCAGTGTGCTCTGCGTCACAGGGCTAGCTGCTCGTGTGTGATGGACAGTGTACTGTGGGGTAGCGCTCCCCTGCCCCCACGTCTGGAGCCACACAGCCCGGCTGGAGGGCAGGATGGCTTAGGAATGCCCGGTGTGGCCTGTCTCCCTACCTAGAGTGTTGGGTTTGGGACCCTGTCTTCCCCTCCACAAGTACCCAGTATAAAAGTCACAAGCCTAGGAGGGTGGGGGGCCAGCTGGTCTTTAGATTTGAAAAGAGTTGTCACCTGTGGTCTGAAATGGGTGTCTGCTACAGGGCCTGATGTTTGGCTATGCCACGGACGAGACGGAAGAGTGCATGCCCCTCACCGTCATGCTGGCGCACAGACTCAATGCCCGCATGGCAGAGCTGCGGCGCTCAGGGCAGCTCCCCTGGCTGCGCCCTGACTCTAAGACACAGGTGAGCCCCTGCTCTCGACCCCCTGAAGGGCTCCAGAAATGCACCTCAAACAGACCCCTTCCTCTTGATTCTTGTCATATGTTAAGATCAAAATGTTCTGTCTGGGCACTCAGAGAATTGTTGAATCTGAAAAGAACTATTTATTTGAAAAATCTTCGGCTCCTGATAAATCTTTTCTTTTCTCCCCTGACGCCCCGATATTTTAGTATGAAAAAATTTTAAATACAGAAAAATGAACAGTTCTAGATTTTTGGGGTGCCAGACTTCTTAGCATATGTTTATTCTAGTAATATGATTCCCCAATTCCTGCCACAAACCTTCATAACTGGTTTCAGACTTTTGGCCACTGCCTGTCAGGTCTCCCTATCTTGAGCGAAGCTTGACTACCCCATGAACAAGTGCTGTCTGTAGCTCGCTGCAGCCCCCTTGCTTTGTTTCCCATAGGAAGGATTTACCTTTGCTGAGTCTGATGCTCTGGTGCCAGTGGCCCTGATCCCTGTGTCCTGCAGTGATGAAATCTGCACTGAATCTGGATTTGAGAGCTGGCAGTAATGCAAGTGCTGGCACATGCTGAGGCCCCTGTCTACCTTCACTCTCCACATCCTGATGGCCCCTTTCCTTGGAGCTCCTCTCCCAACTCTTCTTCCACACTCCAGTGGGGTCTGGACACTTCCTCTTCTACATTCTCTTTCCTCCTACCCACACGTGTGGGTTGTTTTCGCATCTGCACACTTGGCTTCCAAATCTTCCAGGTCTGTCTGAATTGCCAGCCCCCATTTCTCACTCATCCTGCAAACACGTGGGCCCCAGGAGTGCTCCTCAGTTGAAGGGGTTTAATGGAGCCCACCTTTCCCTAGCCCTCTCTGTCTCCACTCTGTCTGGGTTACTCTTGTCCCTCTAGAACATCCCTTCTTCTCTGGCCCCTTTTCCCAGGCCAGGCTTGGCTGTGTCCTCCCAAAGGGTCTCTCTGCCTGGAAACTTCAGTTAATTCACTCTGGACTTCACTTTTAATTTTCTTATATCTGCTCAGAACCATCTACAACTTTCTACTTCCTACTGGAGGCGAGAGGAGTACCCATTTGTTATTCTGGCATTTAAAGCCTTGCGTGGTCTTCTAGCTTTACTTTCCTCAGTCCCCACCCCCAGTCTTTGCTTCATCCACATGCCTTCACTCACATTCCCTTCGTTTCTCAGTGCTTTGCACCTGTGCTCTCACCCCTCACTTTCCTTGGAATCTTTCTCTGGTCCCCACCTGTCCTTCAGTGGCCAGCCGGGTTCCTGCCTCCTCCTGGTCTCCTCTGATCACTCTCAATGGGACATCTTCTTACCCTGAACTTGGAATTTGCCTCCTGCAGTTTTGTAGTTCAGCATGGTGCTCATGGCTCTGTCACATTACTCCCCAAGTGTCAGGCCTCCAATGATGGAGGTTGCATATTGGCTGTACCTGGAGCAACGGAGTGTCTCTGTGGCCTAAAGGAAGTCCTTGGGACTTCAGGTGTTATCCACATGACCCCCAAACTGGGAAGTGGGATCATGAGCATCACTCAGGTGATTTTCAAGGTGGTGGGCAGGAGAGCTGAAATATGTAGGCTGTGATGGTATCAAAAGAAAGGAGCCTGCCCTGCCTGCTCTGTACTGTGCCAGAGCTATGTGGGGATGGGGAAGAAGGGTGGAGAAATCCTAGAACACAGATGAGAGGAAGTAAGTGGAGTGGCTCAGATTTCCTTCTCCCTGCATGAAGGTGAGCACTAGAGGGTTCACCTACCGGAATCACTGAAATAGCAAAGGCCTCCTATGTTTGCTTAGTAATAGAAGGTTTCCAAGTCCAGAGGGCAGTGAGAGAGGGAGGGGAGGACGGGCCCTTCCAGGCTTTTCCTTCTTGCAAGGAGACACTGAATTCTCTTATAAATGTCCTCCGCGGACCTCAATGAGGCTGCTACCCTGGGAGGGGTGCTTTGCCAGGAACAATGTCTGGGTCTTCTCGTCTATTGGTAAAGAATTTTTATCACCTGCCCGTGGTGTTGTTGACTGTGAACAGAATGAGCCTTTCCACCTGAACAAATCCTTGCTTCTGATAACTAAGAGCTGAGTGGCAGTACAAATGGCTATTTTTGTACCTGGCCAGAGTTGTGTTTTCCGCAGTATACTTTTCTCCACATCTTGCTGACATGATGAGATAAGTGCAATGCTTGGGGCTCTTTGCTCAGCTACAGCTCTGCTTGGGGTTTGTGGCAGAGTCGGGGAGCCCAGGAGCAGTGGAGATGGACCTCAGCAGCATCTCAGGAAGCGAGCCTTCTCCAGAAGCCAGGTGTAGCAGGTCTGATTCCAGAGCTGCTGCGGAGCCTCCACTCTGGAGCTCCTAGTCCCACAATTCCAGCTTCCTCTCCCAGGTCCGAGAGTGCACGCAGCCCAGCATGAAAGGTGCTGTGCTCTGTACACAGCTGGTGTGCATATGCCCATCGCCCTAGGATCAAGCATTTTGCAGCCAGGGCTCTGTCTCTTCCTTCTTCTGGACCCCACCCTGTTGTTCTTTGGGCCAGGCAGGACATAGAGTTTGATGGATATCAAAGGGGTCTTTGACTTAGGTAGAGCCCCAGGGAGACACTGTTTGCTGCCTGTAGTCCTATCAAGGCCCTTGGGGTGGGAGCAGCCGTGCCTGCTGGCCAACGTCCCTGCCAGGGCCATCTGGCATAGCTGCACTCCTGAAGGCCCCACAGCCCCTCTGGGTACTGTTCTTGTGGGTCCACACTGCCTTGGGTAGCAGTACTGGGGCTCCAGTACTGAGGGTCTTGGGTGACAGCCTTCTGCTGGGCAGAGCCCAGTTACCAGGCTGCACAGTTCCAGGTCACAGCCCACCTTTGCTGGCTGTGTTATCTTGACCGAAGTATTTACATTCTGGAAGCCCATTTTCTCTCGTCTTTGAAATGGGGCTGGTAGCAACTTCTCACAGCATTTGGTGTGCCTTGTAGCATACAGTACACACCCAGTCAATGCCAGCTTCTTTTTTTTTCTTTTTCCAGCCTCATCTGCCATCCTCACCATCTCCTTCCCTCTTGCTCTGTGAGCCGGAGGTGCGCAGGCTGGGACACGGGCTCTCGCCCTCCCTGGTGTGTTGGGAGAAGACAGGGTGCAGAAGCAGTCTGTCTGTGCTGCTGTGGCGGTGATGCAAGCTGTGGGAGCAGGCAGAACAGTGGTTGGCTCTTGGGTTTTTCACTGACTGGCCTGTGACTTAAGGGAAATTGTTACTCTTCGCAGAGCCTGATTTTTCTCATTTGTAAAATGGTGACAATAGTTCTCATCTTGCTGATATGGCTTCATTATTCATCAATAATGCATGAAACAGGCACAGAACTGACCTACACTGCGGGGAGAGAATCCCAGCTCTGTCCTGTGGCCAGCCCTGCAGGGGAGCTGCAGACAGGATCCTGCTCTCCTTGTGCCCTTGGCTTTTCCTTGCTTTTGCCCAAATACCTGGAGGCTGGCAACCCAGGCCTTGCTACTTCCTCTTAGCTCAATTACCCTGGCTCAGGTTCCTCCACCAGGCAAGGTCCCTGGGCACATATGTTTCCAGAGACCCTCCATTGAGGAGCTGAGGTAGCGGGCATGTGGCCTGTGGACTCCCATGTTCCTTAGCAGAAGCCTGGGTGTCTTGTCTAGGGCCATGGAAGGTCAAGACAGGGCTTTAGTGGATGGACATTTGCTGGCACACAGGACCCTGTGAGACAGAGGGAGTCAACTGCTGAGTCACAGACAGAGAAAACTCTGCAATGCTTGGGTCTCCAAAGTGGTACTGACTGGTCACGTGGGAATAGCTTCTGCCTCATGCCTGACCATCTCATGGCACCAGGCAGTTATTTGCTATAAGAATGTGATGAACTTCCCTGAAGGACCTTTGAGGGCAGGAGGCCGCCGCCCCTCCCTGGCTCTTGGGAGCCCTGTCCACCTCCTGGGCACCTGTGCCTGGCAACGGAGCATCCTCAGGTCGGGGCAGGACCTCACATTTCCTCCCACCCTGCCACTCCCAGGTGACAGTGCAGTACACACAGGAGAACGGCGCGGTCATCCCTGTGCGCGTCCACACCGTCGTCATCTCCGTGCAGCATAACGAAGACATAACGCTGGAGGACATGCGCATAGCCCTGAAAGAGCAGGTGATCAGGGCTGTTGTGCCAGCACAGTACCTGGATGAGAACACCATCTACCACCTGCAGCCCAGTGGGCGGTTTGTCATCGGAGGCCCCCAGGTGCGTCCCCGTCACCGAATGAGCCCTGATTTTGCTTACCTCCCCAGCACAAAGCCTGCAGGAGGTGGTGGCTTTGTGTGACTCGGGCTGGAGTGAGATGTGAAGTCAGCTCGCTCTGTGCAGCCTGCTATGTGCCCTTCAGTACAGGAGGATGGGGGCCATGTTCCGGGAGATTCCCACTTGAGACATCCCGCATAGGTCCAGCTGCCACCTGACCCAGCCAAGGGGCTAGCTAACTTTCCATCACAGGTGCTGAGCTTGCCCTGGCGGTGTTTCCCAGGTCTTGGCCACATGTGACCTGCAGCTCTTGTGGGCACCAAGGTGGGGACACAGAGTGGCCCCTTTCTCCTGTGCCACAGGCATGAGCAAGCAGAGGGTGGCCTAGCCCCTTGCAGAGGCTGCTGACCACTACCAGGCACCTCTGCTGTGGTTATGTTGCCACATAATGGAGCTCTCAGATGGGGTCCTAGGCCAGAGTGGCACAGAAGCCCAGAGTGAATGGAAGTCCTGTGTTTTCCTGCAGGACTTCTCAGGGCCTTGGCATGCTGAGGGCCTTGGCATGCTGCTTCGAACTGTGGATTTCTAAGTGGGGCGGGTGTTGTGGTGGTATAATATGCAGACTTTCCCCACATCGTTTAATATAGAGCCCCCTCAAACATCTTTTGTAGACTGACATTGCACAGAGTAGACACTTGAGCAAACGGGGAACAAAGTTTGCCAGGTGGCACCAGCCGGGGCTCAGCCCAGGGTATATTTGTCCCAGCACAGTTTCCTTCTGAACTTGTTTTTCTCCATTATGATTGACTCCTACAACAAAGGCTTGGTGAGAGGGCTATGACCCCAGTGGCCCATCTTCTGCCTTTTTCTGATGGGGTTCCAGCTGGTGACCTGACTTCAGTGACTACTACTCAGTGACTGAACTGGGATTAGAGCCCAGGCTTTCTGGCTGACACTCAGCCAAGGGTGTCTTTGGAAACACACACTCCTAGAAGCTACAGAGACTGTCTCCAAGTTGTGGTCTAGTGGCCATCCCAGCGTTTCGGCCACCCCTCCCCTCACATCCCCGCTCCGTGTCTTCCTCTTCCTCCGCAGGGGGATGCTGGTGTCACTGGCCGAAAGATCATCGTGGACACCTACGGCGGCTGGGGGGCACACGGCGGGGGCGCCTTCTCCGGGAAGGACTATACCAAGGTGGACCGCTCGGCGGCGTACGCCGCCCGCTGGGTGGCCAAGTCCCTGGTGAAGGCAGGGCTCTGCCGGAGGGTGCTTGTGCAGGTAGGTGAAAGCCCACCTTGCTTGAACCCCTACATCCGCCCTCAGTAGGGATGCACTGGCCTGGCGAAAGGCCCACACTGCCGGAGGACATGACTCTGTGCCACGCTGGGTTTTGTGGCCACTGTCCTGCAAACCTTGGAGTGGGACAACAGAAGTCTTCAAGCAGCAGGGCACATATGGAAACCACAACTATGAAGTGGAGGGTGTATCTAGGCAGATGGGGGCTGGGGGTAGAGAGAGTGTTTTGTGCAGGGCATGCGTGGTTTCAGCGGCCTCTCCCTGAGGACAGCAAGATCTCCGTGAGGGGCCTGTCCCTGACCCTGGGCTCTTCTGACAGGTGTCCTACGCCATTGGTGTGGCTGAGCCACTGTCTATTTCCATCTTCACCTATGGAACCTCCCAGAAGACAGAGAGAGAGCTGCTGGATGTGGTCAATAAGAACTTCGACCTTCGGCCTGGTGTCATCGTCAGGTAAAAGAGCCGCCCCTGAAGTTGGGCAAAGCCCTCTTTCCTCACCCAGTGCTTGCTTATCAGAAAGAGAATCAGAAGGAAGGCTGTTCAGCCTCCTAGAAGCAGGAGGGGCTTCAAGCCCCTGGCCCAGCACAGTGCAAACCCCAAATGCAGAATGTCTAGTTTTCAGATTGAAGGAGCCCAGCAGACACTGACTTCAGGGGGCCCATCTTTGAGCACGTGAGGGATCTTAGGAAAATAACTACAACACCGGATGGCTGGGAACTGAGTCAGCAACTCTGGCCCCAACTGCTCTCGCTTCTAATGTCACCCCTACTTTCTGGAGCTTGTGGTGTCGATGTTGGTCTGTGCCAGGTCAGTGGAGTAGAGTGTAGGCCAGAGTTCAAATCCTGATTCCTGGTGCATCTGTCTGTGTGATTGATCAGGCTGTCCCTGAACTCTGAGACTGTTTCCTAAGTGCCAGTGGCAGTCACCTTGTAAGGTGTGGCACGGCAGAGATAGGAAATTTAGGGAGAATTGCTCTTGAGTGGTTAATACCCCACACACTGATAGTCTGTTAATTACTCCTGTGCCCCAAATTCAGGGAAAGAAACTCTACTCCTTGTCCATTAAAACTGACCCTTTGTTCTACTGAATGTGCAGGGACTTGGACTTGAAGAAGCCCATCTACCAGAAGACGGCGTGCTACGGCCACTTTGGGAGAAGCGAGTTCCCTTGGGAAGTTCCCAAAAATCTTGTTTTTTAATGCTGGTAGGGGCCAGGCCTGGCGAGCCCTGGAGGCTTCAGGTGGGACAGAGCTCTGCTCCTCTCCTCCAGGACCCCAACTCTCAGATCACCCACTGCCTCCTTCCTGGGCAGAGCCAGGCCCCTCTGACTTAGCAGGAGGAAGGGGTCCTTCCGGTGCCGGGGCTCAGATCTCCTCATGAGGCCAGTCACTATGTTTTCCTGCCTCTTGCCCAGACCAAGGTGATGTGAATTTAGTAGAAATAGCACCCCTGCCGGAGAAAACCTGCTCACTCACCTGCCCCCACAGCCGGAACCCTGAGCGGCCCCTCCCTCCCTGGTGTGTGCTGGGAAGATCTCAGGGCTCCGTGAAGGTTTTCTGGGTGTGCCGGGCCACCCTTCATGTCTGCAGCCATGTGGTCAACGTCCTGAGCCCAGGCCCTCCCACAGGCCCTCCCAGGCCATGCTTGTGGCAGGGATGACAGCAGCTACCGTGAAAGAGACTGAACTCATCACTGATCTCATTTCTTCTTCACTGCAATATGATGAGGTGACACCTTGTGTTACCTGCATTTAAGGTGAGGCGGCCGAGTTAACTTTCACAGGGCCCACAGCTGCATGGGTCAGGGCCTAGACGTGCATCTGGGATCTCTGAATTGTGAGCCCATACACCTTGACCCCTCACCCTCAGCACCGCCTCCCACCCCAATCTCATGGTAGAAACAGGTCTGAGTGAAGAGATGAGGCTGTGACCTCTGTCCTGAAGACCTGAGGTTGCTGGGAGTTAGGGGATCGACCCCCTTGGTGACCCCTGAGCAGTCATCTACAGAGCCAAGACAGAACCAAAGGAATGTTTCCTTTGCCTCTGTAATTTCAGAAGATAGATCAGGGTGTGCTGGATATCCTGGCCCATGGGGCTGGGCTGGAGTTTGAAATTAAGAGGCACCTATGTTATCCCAGCCCCTGACCACTCAGGGACATGCAGCATTGGGCCCATAGACCCCTGCAATGTGGGTCCAAGGCCAGTCCTGTCCCATATAGGGCTTCCTAGAGCAGGAGCAGCAGCTTGTCCCTTAAACAAGGGATGGAACCCTGTGTCCTCTGCATGTTTCTCTCTCTTTCTCTGACCCCTTTGTAACCCCTGCAATCTGAGTGCTGTTGGAATAAGTGGGTGAGCCTCTCAGATCCCCCTTCCAGAGAGGACAGCCCAAAGGCTAAATGTTAAATGGTGACTGAAGTGGCAAGTCTTGACTCCTAGAGGGAGCTAAGTTGGCTGAAATGTCATGAGGAGATTTCTGCCTTTGCCAGGTGGCCTGTGGGGCCAGGGCTACCCCTGAGGTCATGGGTGATTCTTGGCACATTAGGGTCTTAGAAGCTACACATTCCCTTGCTTTTCTTCCATGGCCAGCACCTCCCTGGACTCCTTCCCTAACCTGGGCCTCTGACTGCTGCACCTCTACCTTATCCCCAGCTCTGCAGACCACAGGTTCAGGTAGGAGCCTCCACAGGTCCCTGAAGAATACTGGGGGCTGACTTCTTTCTGTGGCGCTCGGTGCCAGCTATGGCTGAGATGCACAGCTCAGGAAGCCTCATATGTGGCAGACAGCTTGCAGTGAGCTGTAGGCCTAAAGCACAAAAACCTTTGGCTTTCTCTTTCCATCAGGAGAAAGGCAGCTGTTCAGGGCAGAAAAAGAAGCCCAAATGACCGTAAAAACGTAGAGCTGGTGTGTGATATGGAAGCTCAGGAGTCTCACAGGGCTCTGGTCATCTGGGAAGTCTCAAGTTCCTTTTCAGAGGGAGGATTAGGTTTTCAGGTGGTTGAGTTCCTCTAACTTGGGCCATATTTGAAGTGAAAATTCAGAATTTTATACTTTTTACACCCCCTGGGAGAAACAAGGTTTTCTTGGGTCAACACTGTTTATATGAAATTGGAGTCTATATTTGTTAATAGTGCCTGCTAAGCCAGTGAATAAAAACTCAAGAAGCAACTATTCTATTCTTAGTTTTTGTCTGCAACCTCCCTAGAGACATCACCTCCAAGTAGCATTACCTCATCCATCCCCCGGGGAAGCGGGTGCCCTGCCCTCAGGTTACCCAGCTGAAGTCCCTCCTATCCTGTCCACATGGGTTACGGTGCTTCACGCCAGCTTGTGTATTGTCACTGCCTCACCGTATTCATTCTGCACCACACTGCATGGAGGTAGGCAGACCCAAGAAACCCCCATGAGTCGTGGAGACCTTGAGACAAACCGAAATGGGTTAGGACCCAGGGTGGCTGACAGGTGGCTTCCCCAGCCTTCAGAGTGTGTCCCTCATCCTCGCCTGGTTTCTTCTGCTTCCCCTTCCTACGTGTTGTCTACGATGTGCTTGGCATGAAGCAAGTGTTCAGGCAGTATTTGTTGCTCAGTTCAGTGACTGAAGTCAAGTGAGGTGAGTGAGCCATGGGGGTGGTCAGCAGAGTTGGGAGTTTGGTCTGGGAGGTGGTGGTGGGTGGAAGAACTGGGGAATGAGAGGGGACTGGAAGAAATAGCAACCCAGTAGTGGATGTCTGGGGTGAAAGACTTGGAATGGGGGACTTTAAGAGAAATTTTCACCCGGGACAAGCTCCCCAGAGCTGATATGACTGGGGCACAGTATCGGAAACAATGACACAACAGCCAAGATATGGAAACAAGTCTGCCAGTGGACGAGTAAAGATGATGTGTTGTATATGTGCAGTGGAGTGTCACTGGTGAACAAGAAGGAAATCCTGCCATTTGCAGCAACTTAGATGAAACTTTAGGGCATCAGGCTATGTGAGATAAGTCAAAGAAAGACAAACTGTATGATGTCACTTATGTGTTAAATCTACAAAATTCAACTGAGTAGAATGGTGGTTATGAGGAGGTGGGATGGTGGGTAGATGGGGGAATGGGGAGATGTTGGCTAAAGGGTACACACTTCCAGTTAAAAGTTCTGGGGAGCTGATGTATAATAGTGATTATAGCTAATAGCCCTGTACTATATACTTAAAAATTGCTAAGCATGTAGGTCTTAAATACTCCACAGAAAAGAAATGATAATTACATGACATGAGGGAAGTGTTAACTCATGCTCTGGTGGTAATCATTTTGCAGTATATTAATTGTATTAAGTCAGCTCTTTGTACACCTTAAACATATCTATGTAATAGGTCAATTATATCTCAGTAAGTCTGTGGGGAAAAGAGCAGTGGGACAGATGCCTGGTTCCTGGGCTCTGAAGTCTACCACCTTCTAACCGTGGCATCATAATGAAAGAGGTTTTGGGGAAATAAGAAAGAGGGGCTGTGCTCTGAGTTCACCTCCCATCAGCCTTAGATGCAGAAAAAGGTGGATAAGAAAATAACTCCGTGTAAGAGGAAACTAACCAGAGGGAACCAGGAGAGTTTACAACCCCAGAAATCTGCATCAAAGGTGCCCTTGGACCTCCCCTTACAATATGGGAGTTCAAATGTGGTGCAGGGGGCCGAGAAGGAAAGGAAGGAGGATGATCACCTTTAATTAGCTCTGATTTTGGCACCAATTATTCCAAAGTCATGAGTTCTGCGGTATCTCACTTGTTTCTCTCTTATTTCTGTTTCTCTGCTTTTCTTGTGTTTCATTTTCCATTTCTAACTTTCTGAGCTACAGATAGATTCCAGTGGCTTCTAGATCCAAAATGTACCCCAGAGGCAGTTCTACAATTTCCACATGGTTTTCTGATTCAACTTTTCCACTTGTTTCTAGTTTCCCTGACAGGCAATTGCAGAAAATAATCTCTGTTACTTGTATTTTTCAAAAAATTTTAAGGTTTTTGTTGTAGTCCAAAATGGTAAATTTTAATCTTATGTGGTCACCTGATGTCATTAGCATGTAGATTTGCATCTATTTCAATTCGTTGTTTAAAATTATACAACATGCATTTATATTTTAAATTATGTAAATCAGATACTCCGATGGACAGTAATTTTAAGCTTTCCTTAGGGAAAACTATAGACAAGAGAGAACAGTAATGTGTTGAATCCTCAGGCATGGCAAACGGTTTCCTCCCTCCCTTCCCTTCTCCTCTTCCTTCCCTCCTGCCTCACTCCCTCTCTCCCCCTCCTAACCATCCCTCCTTTTTTCTATCTTTTTTCCCTTCCTTCCCTCCTATCCACAGAGGGTCTCACAAACAAGATGAACCCAAACAGACTTACACCAAGATATAACAAGATATTTAAATTTAAAAAGTTAAAGAGCATTTTAAAGGCAGCAAGAGAAGAACCAATTCACATATAAGGAAACCCTCATAAGACTGTCAGCCGATTTTTCTGCAGAAAGTTTGCAGGCCAGACAGGAGCTCTTGTAACTTTATATATATATATATATAACAAATAATTAAGAAATGGGCAGAAGACCTGAATAGATATTTTTTCTAAAGAAAACATTCAGATGGCCAACAGTCACATGAAAAGATGCTCAACATCACTGAACATCAGGAGATGCAAATCATAACCACAATGAGATATTACCTCAAACCTGTCATAATGGCTGTAATCAAAAAGAGAATAAATAGGGAGTTACCTGGTGGTCTAGTGGTTAGGACTATTATTCCCATCTCTTAAGAATTTCCATAATTTGTTGTGATCCACAGAGTCAAAGTCTTTAGCATTGTCAGTGAAGCAGAAGTAGATGTTTTTCTGGAATTCCCTTGTTTTCTCCATGATCCATGTTGGCAATTTAATCTCTGGTTCTTCTGCCTCTTGGAAACCAGCTTGTATGTCTAGAAGTTCTCAGTTCATGCTGCTGAAGCCTAGCTTGAAGGATTTGAGCATAACCTTCCTGGCATGTGAAATGAGCACAATTGCATGGTAGTTTCAACATTCTTTGACATCGGAATGAGAACTGACTATACAAAAAAGGTCTTAATGACCCAGATAACCATGATGGTATGGTCACTCACTTAGAGCCAGACATCCTTGAATGTGAACACAAGTGGGCCTTAGGAAGCATTACTATGAAAAAAGCTAGTGGAGGTGACAGA